TTTCTTTATTCTTTTTTTTCTTTTTTTGGATTGTTATGGAGATCATACTACCTACCATTAAAGTTGAAAAAATTATTGACATTTTTTAAATAAATGCTTATATTTATTTCTTATGTTAAATTTGCATTTTGTATGTACAGCAGGTTCATATACATACTTTTTGAAACTGATATAGGTACTTTTATAATATTTTATTATGGTTCTTGTGAATATTTTTTAGTAACAACCAGTGTATGTAATGCAAATATTATTATAAGGGGTGTTGGACACTGATGTCCCCGTCATAGAAGGTAAAACTTTTTACTTACTAAATTCATTATAAATTATTTGTTTACAGTATTGAGGGTATTGCATAATGATTAAAACTAAGACATCAACATTCGTTTAATTTTAAAATTTAAATAATTGTATTACATTTATGTTATATTTAAAGTGCCTGTGTCCATTGATCATGCTTCTAATAGTAATATAATGAATGAGACAAATATATCTAGTGAAGATCACAAGCCATACTTAAGACAAGATTGTATAATATCATTCTACACTCAAATGGAAGGTATTATAACAAATATTTTTCTTTTTTTTAAAGAACTATACAAAAGATCACAGGCAATCTAAATTCTATTTTTTTATTTATAATTATAATTTTTTTATTCAAATAAAATAACTATTATCATCATTTTTAGTATGGTAATTTTACATATTATAGGTGGTATGTTTAATTATTATTTTATTTGACCTTGTTTTTTTGTTTATTTTAGAGTTGTTAATTAATGAAAAGACTACAAATGAAACTTAATGATTTGGGCACAATTTTGTTTCCAATGATCTAATCAGTTGTTGTCGCCCAAGGCCATTCTCTCGTGAGATTATTGAATATCGTATAAAAAAGGACCCTTTCAGCCCACTGAGGATGATTTGGTAAATTGCAAATTTCCAAAAAATTATTGTGGTCAGTCATTTCATGCATCATGGAACTGGAAAGATGTAAGAGGTTAAGTTACTCAATAATAGAAGACAAAATAATTTATATTATGATTTTAATAAATCTGAAACTACTATTGCTTGTAATATTTACTATTGCTATATACTACGTATTGCTTTTATCATTATAATATAATACAGTCGAATCTTTGTCCAAATAATTTCCTCGTTTAATTTTTTTTTTTCGGTTCTCCTAGACCTTTCCAATTCTCAACCTCATTTATGTTGTCGGTAATAAGAGCAATTGAAGTAAAATCAATTTTAAGCTCTTGGTTGATAGCTGTGAAACATTCTTCAATGTTGTGGGTGTCGGGTAATTCGTCGTTTATCTCTTTTATTTTATTTTTGTCTGTGTCATTTTGTTTCAGTTTAGCTCCTATTATATTCATTGATCCTGTGATATAACTAATATGATCTTGCACAAACTCATCTACTCGAAGTATCAGGTTGTAATAAATTGTCATCGATATCTATCATAATATTGTGTACTTATCCTCTCTTTTAAATAATTTTTAGAATTTTGACACGGATTGGGTACTCCATTACAATTCAATCCGTGTTCTTCACTTAAAGATACTATAAATATATTATGTAATATAAATTTAATGTCATCGAAATCTGTGCTTGCGATCAACAAGCCAATAGATCTCAAGTAACAATTTTTTATTTGATATTTACATGATTTAATTTCAGACCAACTACTTATAAGATGCATAACGTGATTAAAATCATTCCGGACCATACAAGTAGGTACTTCAGTTAGTTCTTTTAATATTAACGACGAACACACAGCTAAATATTTTTTATAAAGAAGAATATTGTGTGAATGATTTTACAACCGCCATCATTAGAGCCAAAGACTGGTCTGTAACTACTATTTTTGGTAAAACTATATTAGTTCGTGACCACCCAGTAAGCCAATAACTGATAGAGTTAATGTCGCGTCGTTCAGATAACATGTGTACTGCAGTAAACTGACATTTGTTTTTATAGTCCATGACACTTATTTCATATAGACAAATTAACGATGATTCTCTACCAGATATTAAATTTAACTTTCTTGTAAGTCCTCCCGTCGCGTCAATCGAAATTCTAGGTAATTTATTTTGTGCTGTATACATTCTATAAGTGTTAATTTCAGTCGACATCCAATGATGCAAAAAAATCTATCATAACCGATGTCTTGAAGTATTTGATTGAATGGTGCGGTTTCCTCAAGTAATAAGTGGTCGTCTAATTGGTCTTCACCGCATTCACATAGTATGTCCGATTCTTTCTGGTATCCCCATTTCCTCATGTTTACTTTTGTTTTTGCTACTCCAGTTCTTAACCTATTTAATGTCTTCCATATAATCCAGGGGTGGTTTCCTCCACATGGTAAATGCTCGGCCAATGGGACAGGTTTTTCGCATTGTAACTCTTCTCCCCATTTTTTAATTCTGTATTGTTATTGTTGTGTGGTTGAATTGGCAACAAAGCTTCTTCGAGATTTAAGTCTCCTTTAGGGGCCAAGTAACCATACATGGGGTGTCTTTGGTCCATTGATTGTTTGGTTCTCTCTATGCATGTGGCCGCGTGTCTTGGTATTCCTATTGGGACTATTCCTTCTAATGGATATATATATTTAAGTGGCGTTGGTTTAAGGCAACCAGTTATTATCCTACATGTCTCATTAAGAGCCGTGTCGACATATTTTGTGTGTTTAGATTGGTTCCATACTGGGCAAGCATACTCACCAGCGGAGAAGCAAAGTGCTAGTCCAGTAGTACGGATCGTGTTTGGAGTTGCACTCCACTTGCTACCTGCTAGTTTTCGTATTAGGTTGTTCCTTGCTTCAACTTTCATTTTAGTCTTTTTACACTGCTCTTTGAATGTAAGGGTTCTGTCCAGTGTGACCTCTAGGTAGACTGGATGTTCTGTATTTTCTAGTGGTTTTCCAAGCCATTCAACTTTTAGTTCTCTTTTTGCCTCGCGGTTTCTAAGATGGAAGCTGCATGCCTGTGTCTTATCTGGGTTGGGTCTTAGTTGGTTTTTTGTGTAATAATTTGTTAATTCTTGAAGTGATCTGGTGAGTTTACGTTCGACAATTTCAAATTTTGTATCCTGTGCTGCTAGGGCCCGGTCGTCTGCGTATAGGAAATGTTTTGTTTCTTTGATGATGGGTTGATCGTTGGTGTATATATTGAATAGCATAAGCGTTAATACACTGCCTTGGGGTAAGCCATTTCGTTGGTTTCTCCATCTGCTCCATTTGTTATTTAGTGTAACTGTGAAACGCCGGTTGTGTAGCATGGAAGATATAATTTGGACAAGGTGCCAGTCACTTGTGCATTCGTATATTTTCTTAAGCAGAAGGTTATGATTCACCATATCATATGCTGCAGATAGGTCTACAAAAACCACCCCAGTTACTTTTATGTTCTCGTAGCTGTCCTCTATGTGTTGGCATAGGTTTAGTACCTGTCCTGTACAGTTTTTGCCTGGCTTAAAACCAGCTTGCTTAGGAATAAGTTTCCTTTCGATTTGACTCTTGATACGATTCATAATCATACGTTCATACAGTTTGAAAGTATGATATAGCAGAGATATCCGTCTGTAATTTTTTGGGTTTTTGTAATCTTTTACCATTTTGGGTACTAAGGCCTTGTCATGGCATGAGTTTAGAAAAGTTAATAGCCATTGTTTAGATTTTATGCTGAATTCTTTTATTTGTTCTGTCATTACTTCGTCTGCCCCAGGTGCCTTTCCGTTTTTCATCTCCTTCAGGCTCTCATTTAGTTCATCAAGCGTAAAGTCAAGCTGGAAATTATTTTGCTCAGAGTCTCGGATTCTAGTGAGTTTTTCTCTTTTGATTTTTGCCCCTGGTTTACCGTTTCAGAGTAACTGTGAGGCTACTCGGTTAGCTGTTACGTTTATATCATTTGTGTGTGTAACTGGGTCTCCATTTAGTCTCTTGATGAGTCGCCATGCTTTTTTGCTGTTCTTGGTCATGTCTGTATTCTCAATGAGTTCATGCCATCGGTCGTTTCTATCTTTACATAGGTGGTTAATCAGGGTTTCTCTTAGCATCACTGTCTCTTCGCTAAATGGGTCAATAGTGAAAGATTTTTCATATTTTTTATTTATTTCGCAAGTTTCTTCCATCATTCCGCTTATATATTGTTCTCTACATCCCCGTGGAATATGTAGTCTTGAGATTTTCTTGACTTTTTCTACAAATTTCTCATAATTGTCTGGCTTTGGGTCTAAGTTACATATTTCTTTACTTAAACTTTCCCTAAAATCTTTCCACTTAGCCTTTCTAAAACTAAATCGCCTTTTAAACGGTATGGTTTAGGATCTCACGACTTCTGTAACACTTAAAGTCAAGCCTCTATGTTGAGTATTTGGTATGGGGTCACATACGTTCTGTATGGCTTGAGAGGCTATTTTATCGCTTACGAAGGTTAAGTCTGGGTTGTAACTTTTCTTCCACCGGCCACTATTAAAGGATGGGGGGGGGGAGTTTTGGATCGTGTACTAGGGACAAGCCTTCAGCCTCAGCACATGATTCAACGTTTTCTCCATTTTGATCTGTTTCTTGGTATCGCCACGTGACACTATGACTGTTGAAATCGCCCAAAACTATCTTTGTATCACAGTTGTCAAAGTTATCCGGTTTTAAAAAATCGAACGCTATGTTTGGTTGTTTGTACACCGACGTAATTGTACAATTGCGTACCTCAATGGTTAGTATCTCGATCTGATTGTTATGACCATATGATGCACTTTCGACCACCAGTTCTGGTTTAGTATACATTGCACTTCCATATTGTGGTTAGGTTAGGTGGTAATTCAATGACTAGATTCATTTCCGGTATTTTTGGCCTAACGCTGGCCTCATCCCATTGCGTTTCTTGGACACACAATACGTGGCACCTCTGTGACTTACAGAATGAAGCAAGAAGCTCACCATTAGCCACGGAAAAGTCTTCGATATTTTGTGTTACCACATTTATTGCCTAACCTAACCTAACCTAACCTGCCGTCCAGTTGTACCGTGACTCCAGCATCTTCCCCACCACGGTCTCGGGAGTGAATGGATCGTTGATTGTAGCTTTCAGCTCCATTCTCCGACGCCACCATCTGTCGCACTGGAAGAATGCGTGCTCTGCGTCGTCAACTGGAGCGAGACAGTCCACACAACTTGGGTTGTCCAACTTTCGGATCCGGTGCAGATACTGGCCGAAACAACCATGACCCGACAAGAACTGCGTCAAGTGAAAGCTGGTTGTCAGCCCGTGGCTCCTGGCGCACCACCGACGGACGTCTGGGATCAGCCTCCTAGTCCAGCTGCCTGATTCCTCCGTCGACCATCTCTCCTGCCATGTCACCATGGTGTTACTTCTTGGGTCTTTTCCTGCCGTGGGTAACGCGGGATCCCGTCTCCGGTCGAACATTGCCTCTCTCTCTTTCGCCAGGAGGTCTGCGGGTGGCGTTGATGAGATCACGTTCGTGGCTGCCTCGGAGACGGTTCGGTACGCGCAGACACACCGGAGAAGAACTCTCCGTTGGGCTCTATTCAGGGTCCGGACGTTTCCTGGCACGATCTCCAGCGTTTGTGCCCAGCTGGGGGCACCGTATAGGAGCACCGAGTGCACCACCGACGACAGGAGCCGCCGTCGGTCCTCTCGTGGCCCTCCCAGGTTCGGCATGATCCTCGCCAGCTGTTTCCCGATCTCCGCTGCTCTGGCTGCCGCTTTCTTCACATGGCCCTTGAATAGTATCGTCCTGTCCACCACCATCCCGAGATAGTTCATCTCGGTCGAGAGCTGAACGTCGCCGCCGCACAGTCTGATCGCGGGCAGGGTGTACTTGTACCTGTACGTGAAGAGGACGGCTTCGGTCTTCTCCACAGCGATCTGAAGGCCAAGGTCAGTGATCCGCTCCTCCAACAAGGACAGGAGTCTCCGGGTTTGGTGTCCTCAGAAAGGTCTTGCGACCTTTCATCCGACTGCAACTTCGGACCTTTTATTAGCACGTGGTGCTAGTCAAGGGCTGTAGAGGCCTACGACCGCCAACCGACGGGACCTCCCCACACCGGGGCATGGCCAGAGGACCGCCGGAGACTGACGGCCGCACGTCGTCTAAGGACCACGGGCACCGAGCACGCCGGAGGGCATCTCCGACGGGCTCGTACCATGTAGCTAGGGCATACAGGTGCCTTTCGCCATCCTGGTGAGACCGCAATCTATCCTCGTCGCTTTCCGTGTTTGGTCACGGACAACCTTCGCTGTATATAGCTCCAACGATAAGCTGGGTGGGCGCTAAGGAGGAGCCGTGCATTCCCGGCCGGCTGTCACTGTACGGGTCCGCCGGGTCCCGTCACTCGGCAACTTTCCCCTGACCGAGCATGAGGTCTTTTCCCACATAGTTCGCTCCGGCGAACCGCCACTTCGAAACCAATCCGCCGTCGGCCGGGGCAGTGTCCACCACGACCGACGTGTGAGGGCTCGGCGTCAATCTCTCAACGCCGAGGGGCTCCCTCACATCCCGAAGCACCATTATCGCTCCCCGTTAGGTAAAGCACATCAATGGTGAGATGCTCGGGCGAAGCTTCGTCGGCGACAAGCCTCAGCTTATGGCCCTACCGATATTTCGGCCGTGTACCGCGGGCTAACGGTGGGCCCGTACTCGCCTCCCAGAGGCGTCACCGGGCAGTTAAGCCAAGTGACCGACCCGCTCTTCGTGAGGTCGCGGTCAGAACCTCATTCCACGCCTCCCAGAGGTGTCACCGGGCGGTTAAGCCGAGTGACCGACCCGCTCTTCGTGAGGTCACGGTCAGAACCTCTCAACGCCCTAGTCCCCGAGGGTTTCGGAGCGTCCGCGCCCCGGGCGCCGGCCCCGACATGGCCTTCCCTTTCAGTCGCCTCTTACGACAAGCAGGGAATACTGCTGCGGAATTCTGGACGGCCGCCCGCAGCAGGGCCGAACTACACGTCCCTGACGCATGAGTGCGCGCCCAGGTCGGGACGCACTCGAGCTTGTCTCACCGCTTCTGCCGATCGCGCCCAGCGCACTCATTCGAGACACCCCGAGTGCACTGCCATCCGTCACTGACGGTGGCGCGTCCTGACCCATAAGGTCATTTGTCCTTATCTGTCATCGGTCTGTGCGATTTGTTAACGCTTCTTTTGCAAAGGTGGACAGTGCATTGTAGGTCCTCTTACTTTTGAGGAAGGCTCCATCCTCTGGAGGCCATCCAACGCCCTCCTGTCTCAGGACTCGTTTCATCTTTAGGCGGGCAACCTTGGTCCTTGGACAGAACATCAAAACATGCTTCACCGTTTCCGGCATACGGTCACAGGCACATATGGGGTCCGGAGCTAGAGTGAAGCTGTGAAGCTTAGCTCTGAAATCCCCGTGGCCAGTCAGGAATTGGGTTGTCCAGTGGTCCAGATCCATCGGTAAGCTGCACCTGTGCCTCACCGATGGGATCATTTTCTGCGACCAACTGCCCTTCTCTGTTGAGTTATATCTGGTCTGCCACTCCGACATCAGGTTATCAGTCTCTTCAGCCAGAGTTTCCGACGGGATCATGCGTCTGGAATATAGCCGCTTAAGGGCTTGAAATTGTATCTCAAGATCCAGAGGGAATGTCCCCGCCACTGCTGCCAGGCAGTTTGTCGAAGCCGTTTCATATGCACTGGTTATGACAAGCAGTGGGGCCCTTTGTGAGGAGAGCAGTTTGTTACGGCTCTTGAGGAGTTTGGTACCCTCGGACCATATCTCGGCCGCATAAGTAATTCTAGGGAGAAAGACTCCTCTGTAGATGGTCCTTTTTCCCCTAGCTTCCATCGTTTATTGAAAAAAAAAAACATCTAATAACAACAAATAATTTATGTTTTTATACAATCAAAAGTGGGGGCCTCTAACCACCCTGTAAAAATGTGGCCTTCAGCCTATAATAAACAATTCTTAATTAATTGGTGCTTTGTCTTCTACGTTCCTCCTCTTCTTTTTTGGACATTATTTCTTTCACGAATGCACTCACGGCCGACCAGTTTGCTTTGCTCTTCAGCATTGTCGACAGCAGCGAATCCGGGTTGATGTCTTCTCCAACTGTTTGCTCCAGCGATCGCCTACGGAGGTGCCAAGCATCGCACTCAAACACCGTGTGGAAAGCGTCGTCAGTAGTGTTCCCACAGTACCAACAGCTGGGTGATGGGCACTTATCTATTTTGTGCAGGAATGATGCGAAGCACCCGTGCCCAGTGAACGCTTGGGTGAGGTGGTAGCTCATTTCACCGTGAGGCCTTGTGTGCCATGTTTCGACGCTCTTCACTAGTCTATAGGTCCATCTGCTATCTTTGGATGAATCCCACCTTGCCTGCCAATCCCTCATCAGGGTTTCTCTTGCTTTTTCCCTGTGGTTTGTCGCATCGTTTGCCCATTTCCCCATGTAGATTTGTCTTCTCTCTGTTGCTAAGAGGTCGATAGGTGGTAAGTCTGCCAGGACCTGGGAGCTTACCGTGGAGATGGTAGAGTAGGCTGAAACTACTCTGATCGCCACTTTTCTCTGTACCTTGATGAGCTCAGTTTTGCCTTTTGCGCTCATCCTGTCCGCCCAGTTTGGGGCTCCGTACAACAGGATTGATTGGACAGCGCTGGCGATGAGTCGTCTTTTCCTAGGCGTTGCTAGGCTAATGTTAGGTAGTATTCGGCTGAGGTTTCTTACCACCTTTTGCGCTTTGATTGCCGTGTCTTTTGCATGCTGTGTGAATTTTAACTTTGAATCTATCTGCAGCCCGAGGTATTTAATTGTTTTACTCGTCCGTATTTGTTGGCCGCCGACGCTAACCGTCATGTCGTTATGAGTCCTTGTATTAGTGATGATGAGGGCTTCGGATTTGTGAATTGCCAGCTCTAGGCCGACACCAGTGAGCCAATTTCTTGCTATCTCAGCTGCGTCGGAAAGAGCGTTCCCTAGGAGTATGGAGTCTTTTGCGACTGCCACTAGCGCTACGTCGTCCGCGAACGCGAGGAAAGACACTCCAGCTGGGAGACGGTTTTTTAGGAGACCGTCGTACAATACGTTCCATAACGTAGGACCCAAGACGGAGCCTTGGGGCACTCCGCTGGAAATAGGTTGTGCAGTCTGATTGTCATCAATTTTGAGCAGGAGCGATCGATTTTCCAGGTAACTTCCTATGATCCGGCAAAGGTAGCTTGGGATAGACTTCTCTTGTAGTGCATTTAGAATTGCTGCCCATGGTGCTGAATTAAATGCGTTTTTTATATCCAGCGTTAGTACTCCTATTTTGTTTCTGGGGCTGTTTGCTTCGGAAATGGCTCGGAGAGTGTGGACCGCATCCGTGGTGGATCTGCCCTTGCGGAAGCCGTACTGTCTTTCGTCCAGACCGTTGTTCTGATCGAGGAAATATCTCAGACGGTTGTCTAGGATTTTCTCTAACAGTTTTCCAAGGCAGTCAAGGATGCACAGAGGCCTGTAAGAGGACGGTTGATCCAGCGGTTTGTCTCCTTTTTTAAGGAGAACCAGTCTAGCCGACTTCCATTGTGCGGGGAAGTGGCCCTCAGACAGGCACTTGTTGTATACTTTCAGTAGTAAGTCCGGTTTGCATCGGGTGTAGCATTTTAGCACATCATTGGTGATGCCGTCTGGGCCGGGGGCAGTGTTACTCTTTAGCGAGCGGGCTGCCGTCTTTATTTCTTCGAGCTGTATCGCCGCGTTCTTCGCCTCTTGTGTGCTGCTAGATGGCCACACGTCGTCTGGCCTTTTCTGGTGGGTCGGGAACAGCTCGCGAACTATGGACTCGACTCTGCCCGGAATGTTGATCCCGGGGATAGGCGAAGGTTTTGTTAGTTTCCCCATTACCAGTCTGTAAGGCATGCCCCATGGATCGTGTTCTACTTGGTCGCACAGCCTGCGCCATTTTTCGTCTTTCGCTACCTTGATAGCTTTTGCCAGCATCTGTTTCGCCTCTTTTGCGCTTTTTTCTTCTTCGGTGCACGACTGGGGTCCTAATCTTTTCTTCTTGCGTTGGTAGACTCGGCGCAAGTGATTTGCTGTCTTGCGGAGGCAGCCTATTTCGGGGGACCACCAGTAGACCGATTTTCGGCGGCTACCGCTGGGCGGTGGAGACACTCCTTTGCACGTATTCTGGATGTTGGATGTGAGTAGTCTAGCACTTTCCTCTGCTCCGCTGTCGGTCATGTCCAAGTCAGTTGTTGCTTCTCTGAGGATCGCTTCCAGCTTCTTTATTTCCAGTTTGCGGCTGTTCCATTGTGGGGGGTTTTCGGCTGTTGTTGGTGGTTGCTTTTCGATTTCAAACCTAATATATCGGTGATCGCTTAGTGAGATCGTGTCCAAGACCTCCCATCTGACAATTTTGTTAGCCAGAGCTGGGGAGGCGATCGTGAGGTCTATTATCGATGATCCGTTTCGATTACAGAATGTAGGAGTGCTGCCTGAATTGCAGATTGTTAGCCCTAATGCATTTGCGAAGTCTGACACGGCTTCGCCTCTCTTATTGTTTGACTTGCTGCCCCAGTCGGTGTGGTGAGCATTAAAGTCGCCCGTTATCAGGACCTGGGTGTTTGCTGATCTGATGCTCAGTTCCAGTCTCGTTATGAAATCCATGTATTCATGATGGGTCGAATTGGGAGAGCAGTAACAAGAATACAATCGGACGCCTCCGGATTCTATCCAGCAAAAGCCCTGTTCCTTAGCCCCTATTTGGTCGACACTTGTTTGATTGGCATTTATTATCGCTGCTTTATTTGTGGAGTCGTTGTACCAGTTCGAGGTCTCTATGTGATGGGGCTCAGTGATGAATATGAAGTCAGATGCCTCTTCGATGCCTACTTGGTGTAGTAGGTCTTGCGCTGCTTTGGAGCAGTGCAAGTTTATCTGTAGGTATTTAGACATCCTGGGTCGGGGCGTCAGGCTCCTTTCCTGAATCCCTTGGGGCTGTGGTTTGCGGCGTTCTCTTGTTGGCCATAGCAGTCCGGTATGCAGTGCACTTGCTGCTTCCGGGGTAGTGGTCGGTAGGCTTTGATAGGTCCATACAGGCTATACATTTCGGTGACGATTTGCAGTCGGATGCTTTGTGGCTTTCGCTGTTGCAGAGACTGCAGGCATTGGTGCGGTCTGGGCCTTCGCATGCGTATTTTGTGTGTCCATATCCGAGACATTTAAAGCATCTAGTAGCAGTTGTTTTTAGCCGTACTTTGGCGTAGACCCATCCTATTTTTATGCGTCCTTTTTTAGCCAGGTTCAGCGCATCCGTACTCCTCAGCCTAACTGTTGCTCTTTGGGTCCCCGCGTATGTCGGTCGGATGCTTTTTATTTTAATCGACGTGTCTTCTAGTGCGAGTCCTAGAGTGTTCTTGATGCACGTTTCGACTTCTGTCTCCGTCGTGACTCCGTCGAGGTCTTGAACGTCTACTTCGTCGTATCTAACGAGCCCTCTTATAGCTGCGCGATCGCTTAGGTTAGCTTTTAGTGCCTCGACAAGTTCTTCTCTTTTTTTGTCCTCTGGTTTAAGCCTGATTAGGATCTCTCCGTTTCTGCTCTCCGTTATTGAGGCTACCTGTGATCCGATACTCTCGATGTCTACTTTTTGTTTTATTTCTTTAAGTATGTCCGAGTACGTCTCGCCGTTTTCAGGCTTGACCGCTATTGAGTCCGAGAGGAGCTTTCTGGGAATTTTCGGATTCTGTCCTCGTGGTCTCCCCATGGTTTTTGCTGGTGCTCTTTTTCTCGTGACGCTTGTCCAGCCTTGAGTTTCCTGTCCCTGTTGTGGTGTTTCGGTTTCAACTTCTACCTTTTTGACCGGCTCTTGCTGTGACTTTTGCTGGGAGTTTCCCTGTGCTCTTGCCTGCTCTGTCTGCTTCCGAACAGCTTTCTCCTGTATTTTTTGCTGTTTCTCAAGGTCCATCTGGTTCCGCTCTGCCACTAGCTGGTCGATTGATCCCTGCTGCGTCGTCAGCTGCTCCTGGATTCTTTCCAGCATTGCCATGAGGAGTCCGTCTGGTTTCTCAGGATTCGTCGGCGTTGGCGTTGGCGGTATCTTAACTTCCTTCTCTGCTAGCTTCTGGGTGTTTTGCTCCTTGTCGCCAGGTCCCTGCTTTTTCACCTTTATGTACTGAGTTAGGAGCATACGCAGTTTTGGGAGAGTATCCTTAATCTCCCTGTGAACATTGCGCGTGTTCAACGCAAATTTCTCCATGCTTGCAACGTAATAGAGGGTTTTGTCTAGTAGCTCAGCTTCGCTGAGGGTGGCGATGTTGATGGTCTTCGTGACGGGCGATGCCACAGCCCCCACTTGCGTCACAGCAGTTCCTTTTGTGCATCCGTGTCCTTCTTTATCTTCGTGTCCGATTTCCAGTTTTCCAGTCTTTTCTCCGATTATGGACGGTCCCCCCCCCCCCGAATCCGTGGGGCCCTAGGTCGAGGGTAAAATAATTCCGGTTTCTTTATCCATGGTTGATTTTCTGAGGCAAATTCTAGCCTGCGTTTTAGCCCTACCGCCAGGGGGGGAATTTGCAGTTGCCTTCTGGGGGATTTGCAGTTACCATCTGGATCCGTTTGCTGTAGGTAGCAGGGAGACCGGTCCTGCCGGCCCCAACGTGTTGGGTCTGGGCTGGCTATGGTTTACAGTTTCCTTCTGGGTCCGTTTGCTAGCGTAAGCAGGTGGTTACCGTACCTGCCACCGCAACCGTTTAAGGTCGTGGAGGCTCTGGAGGCTCCGACCCCGACTGGTTGGTCGGAGCCGGGGAATTTGGGTACCTCTTAGCACCGAATTGAATCGGTGAGCCCCCCCACCACGTCAAGGTGGGTCCCGTCGGGGGGGCTGTAGATGGTCCTAGCCGCTGCTCTGCCCATACCCCAGTTCGCGGAGTAGAGGGACCTGAGCCGATTGTACATGGGCCTCGATTTCAGGCAGACAGAGACGACGTTGTCCCAATAACTCCGTCTCGGGTCCAGGAGTACCCCAAGGTACATCGCTGTGGCCGTCGACGAAATCCTGGGGACACCCGCTCCGGTGCCGAAACCGACGCTGTACCCGGGCTTCAGGCCACCTTTTAGCGACATCAGCTGACTCTTGGCAGCAGAGAATTCGAGCTTAAAGCTCGTGGCCCACGATTTTAGAATGTCCAACTCTTTTTCAATCCGGCGGAAGGCAGTATGGGGCTCGGCTGCTCCGACCATGAGAAGGATGTCATCCGCGTAAGCAATGACCTTAACTGTGCGGGACTCATTTATCCGCTCGAAGATCGAGGTCATTGCGACCTTCCAGAGGGTCGATCCCAGGGTCTTCATTGGTCACGTCTTCCAACTCCTGGGTCGACTTGGCCCTGGTGACCAACATCGTGTCGTCCGCGAATCCCAGGAGCTTGGCTCCGCAGGGCAGCTCGGTTCTCAGGACGGCGTCGAAGGTAGCGTTCCATAGGAGGGGGCCTACGACAGAACCCTGGGGCACGCCTCCGGAAATCTCCATCTCTAGCGTACCGCCCTCTTCGCAGTTCGCCTGCACCGTTCCCGTTCTCCCGGAGAAGTACGACCTGAACATGTTCTGCAGGTATTGCGGGACGCTCCACCCCAGCAGGGCGTTCATGATGTCCGACCACTTTATCGAGTTGAACGCGTTCCTGATGTCGAGGCTGACGGCTAGGCAATAGTTACCTCCGTCGACCCCTTCCAAGAGGCTGGCCTGCAACTCACGTACCTCGTCGTCCGTGGACTTTCCTTTCCTGAAGCCAAACTGATTGGCCGAGAGCCCACCGTTGGCCGACATGTGGTCCTCGAGTCTTCGCGCGAGCAGAAATTCGAGGATTTTTCCAACGTCGTTCAGCAGGCAGAGAGGCCTGTAGGAAGAGGGCACACCGTCCGGCTTGTTGGCTTTCTTCAACAGCACCACCCTGGCGGTCTTCCACTCCTTGGGGAAGGTCCCACTGCGGAGACAGCTGTTGTACAAGTCTAGCAGGATGCTCGGGTACGCCTTGTGCACCGCCTGGAGTATCTTGCCGGTGAGTCCGTCTGGGCCAGGGGCTTTGTTCTTGCTGCCCGCCCTCTCGACCGCCAGGCCCACTTCCGTAGCCGTGAACGGGACTACTGGATCTGCAGGGACCAGCGGGCCGTCCGTACTCGCCTGGTGTTTCGGGAACAGGGTATCGACGACCGTCTGCAGCGTCGCGTAGTCCATCGAGGCCGTTAGGTTAGGTTAGGACCTCTCAGCTTGCGCATCACCAGTTTGTACGGCTTGCCGAACGGATCGGCATCCACCGAAGAAATTAGTTCTTTCCAGCACGTCTTCTTGCTACGGAGTATGGCGATCTTCAGCTGCTTCTTGGCTTCACGGTATGCTCCGTTGGTCAAGGCGAGCTCTGCTTCTGCCCGTTCTTCGTCGAACTCGTGGGTCTGGCGGCGTCGTAGTCTAGACACCCGGGCGGTCATCCTCGTCATCTGGCGTTTGGCCCTGGTGCAGTCGGCTCGGAGAGCCTCGATATCCGCGTTCCACCAGTGGGCGGGAGGCTTCCTCTGATTGGGTGTCCGACGGGCAGGAAAAGCAAAGTCGCAGGCGGCTGTGACCCTCGACCGAAGTGCGGAGGCCCCGCGCTCAGCGTCTTGCCAGTCTTGGAGGCCGTCTTGCTCGAGCCACTCGGCCTGTATCAGTCCGGCGAGGAAGGTGTCATTGGCTACACCGCCCGCGGTGTTCCAGGCGCGTGGGGCGACAGTTGTCGCAGGAGCGGCTCTGTCTCGGTCGCGTCCTGAATTCAGGGTGAACCTGATGTAATGGTGGTCGCTGTTGTTGAACACCGACTCCAGTACTCTCCAGTCTGCGATGCGAGGTGCCAAGGAGTCGCAGGACAGGGTGACGTCGACGATGGATCCGGCGCCTCTAGAGAAGGTTGGAGTCGAGCCCGAGTTTGCGATGACCAGACCCAGGGACTCAATCAACAGCTCCAGTTCTTCACCTCTCCTGTTGTCGACCCAGTCGCCCCACGCAGCGGATCTCGCGTTGAGATCCCCGGTGATGAGGACGGGGAACTCCTGTTGGACGGCCCTGATGCTGTCTTCGAGACGGCGGAGCAGGTCCTGAAAATCTTCTATTGGTCTGTTGGGCGACGCGTAGCAGCTGTACACCTGGACGCCGTTAAGCCGAGCTGAGACGAACTCGGGGTCGCTGATGACGTTGGCCACCGTTACTTTCGTGTTCGCCACGTAGATGGCCGCCTTCCGTTGTCCGGCGCTCGCGTGCCAGGCGCTGGATGCGGGAGCCGCGTTGTAGGGGTCGCTGAGCAAGGCGACGTCGATTCTTTGTTCAACCATGAATTGCGCGACGAGGTCTTGTGCCACGCGGCAATGGTTGAGGTTGCACTGTATGAAGTTGAGTCCCATCACACAGCTCCACTTTCTTCTGCGAGCTCCTCACAGCTTGAGGTTGAGGGCTGCGACTGCTGCTGCTGCGCCTGCTTCTGCAGGGCACAGTCCTTCGCCAGGTGGTCGTCGGCTTTGCACCTAAAGCAGCGGCGGGGCTTGGCCTCGTTCCGGCACTCGGCGCTAAGGTGACCTTTGCCTTGGCAGCGGAAGCAGGTGGGCTGGTTGCTGGCCAACAGTTTCACCCTGCACCTGGTCCACTCCACGGTGACCGCTTTCTTTTCCGCAAGTGTGATGGCGTCCTTGATCGGCAAGTGTAAGCTCGCGACGAACTCCCCTCTTCCACCAGAGTTCTTGCGGATGGTCACGTGCTCTGAGGTGACTCCGGTAACTCCCGCCTGAGAGACGCCGGCAACGACGCTCTCTGCCTCTGCCCATTCAGGAATTCCCAGCAGTAAAATTTGCGTACGGGGCTCGGGTATCCTGACCCTGGCCGCATCTCCTACCACCTCCCGGATCTTCCCGGCTAGCAGTGTAGCTTTATCGTGTCCCTCAATCTCAAGGAGAATTCCTCCCGCTCTAGTCTTCCTCGTCGTCAGGACCTTGACGCCAAGAGACTGGAGGTTGATCGAACTCGATATCTTCCTCATCACGGAAGCTAGGGAGCCTCCTTCCGCCGGCCGGTCAATGGTGACCGCCATGGATCGCCGAGCCCGCTTCCGCAGGAGAGCCACTTGGTCGGTGGTCGAGCGCGGTTGTTGGGCCGGCTTCGGTGGCTTCCTTTTCCTAACGACCTCGCTCCAGGTCTGCTGCTGCTGGGGTTGCTGCTGCGGTTCCTGCGGCTGTTTTTGCCGTTGCCGGGGCAGATCATGTTGCTCTTGCTGTTGGGGCTGCTGTTGCTGCCGTTGCTTCACTTGGCGCTTCCGTTCCTGCTCAGATAGCCGTTTCTTCCGCCTGCGTTGCAGCTGTGGCTGCCGCTGTTGGCTTGCTGGGTCCCGAGCCTTGGACGCATTTCCGGGCGGCAACGATTTTACATTTGCATCAGTGTTGGTGGCAGCGTCCCTGGTTGCCACAACATTCTGGCGCTTCTCTTCCGCGACGTCCGAGGCCACCGTCTGGGTAGACGCGCATCTGGAAGACGGCGGTGCCCCTCGGCCTTTGGCCAGGAATGACCTGATCTGCCCGGTCGCCGTGTTGAAGGCAGAAATGACGTCGTTCCTACTTCCGTGGAAGCCGTTGACGACCTCCAACAGCTCGGAGATGGCCGAAATGACCGCCGGGCTGTGTGTCTTCTTGGCCACGAGTTCGAGACTTGATGCTCTCTCGAACAGGGTCTTGAAGGCTCCCTCTTGTGTAGTGAGCACCGCACCAAGATTTTTCATGGCAGACTTAACCGTTGTCAACTTTCACGGGTTGATGTCCGCTCACCGATTGACCAGTTGGCGATTCTGGGTTCTTTTGTTTGTTTCCATCCATATAGTTCCCACGAGTGGGCATGATTTGGTCGTCACCCCGTGGCAGTGCAGCGTACCACGGGGAAGGCTAAATACTGTGGGGGGTGCCAGGTTAGGGACCTTAGGTAACCTAACCTAACCTCTAATCAGGAAAAATATGTTTTATTAAAAAAAATTATAGATGATATACAAGGTGCTAATTTATTTTTATTTACAAGCGCTGATAATGTTATAAAACCACACTTAACTAAGAAAAATTCTATCATTATTTTTGATGATGTAATATGTGGTCCACAATCTGTAATTAGAGACTACTTTAGCATCGGCAGGCATTCGGGTGCTATCTCTGTTTTTTATTTAGCACAAACGTATTCTAAAATACCAAAACAGCTAGTAAGGGATAACTCAAACTTTTCAATAATACTGAAACAAGATGACACGAATTTACGACATATACTTAATGACCATTCATCCTCAGATATGAATTTTTTAGAATTTCGGAAAATGTGTCATTTATGCTGGAATCATAGTGATTATGGGTTTATAGTCATCGATACAACTCGAGAAATGAATGAAGGAATATATAGATGTGGTTTCCATAAGTTTATAAAAATTAAATAATTTTGAGTATGTATATACATATATATATATAACGTAACACTGCCATTACTAGCATAGCGTTTTCAGTAGTCATACAACACAGTTATATACTGTTTATCATTCGCAATGAACAGAAAAAGAGTTATGTTAAAAAATATGATAACATCGAAAAACAATATTAAACGTAAAATAAAACGGGAATGAAACGTGATATTATAGATTCCGATAACTATTACCGTGATGTTTTTAAACCCATAACTGATCCATTGAGTTCGCGAACAGAAAAATATGATCAATATGAGTTGCGGCAGACTGATGATACAAAAACAGATACCGTTTTCAGTAGTGATGAAGACAATGACAATGAATTAAATTCATCATTTGCTAATTTTTTTAATGAACGTCCTAAATTGAAACGTTATGATAAATCATATGGTATGTATTAT